CAGGCAGGCAGGCAGGCAGGCAGGCAGGCAGGCAGGCAGGCAGGCAGCGTTTTCGCGCATTGGCTGTGGTCGGCTGATAGCGGCGAACGAGAAACAGGGCTCGTTACGCTCGTTCCGCACGCGGTGCTCGATAATTCCACAATCCGACCAGAAAACCGGTAACAAGTGCCGAGGGAACACGTCATCCTTTCAGCGTCACTCTATTAACGTCCTCGTCGACGCGGCGAGCCGTCTTTTCACCGCGTGTCGCAGTCTGTTGGATCGTTCCTGGTCTCGTCGAGGCGAGAGATCTCGCGCGTGTGCCTCATTAAAAAATACTAAACCGAGACACGTCCTCCCGAGGACGACATTCGCAATTGCACGGACTTTAGACATCTCTTCTTCCGAACCCCATCCCCCTCCCCTCTTCACCCATTCGACTTCAATTTCCGCCACGGCGGTAATGACTTCAAGCGGATATACACCCGACAGGTAGACACGCAGAGTCATTGGACCTGGAAGGATCGAGGCAGAACAGTATGCAGCCGTCGATCGGGAAAGTGATCGAAGGATGACAGAGGACGAACGAGTGAAAGGGATGTAGCTGAACGACGCCAAACGTCGAACTGTGCGTTCGAGAAACGTCGTTTGACAGTAGTCAAAGAGGGAGTGTCGTTAAACGCAACGTAACTGCGAGCACAAAAGTATTCTCGCCATGATAATTGCACGTTGCGGCGCAGGTAGCTTGAATGGCGTTGGTTCGTCGCGTACGCATCGCCTGGTAAACACGCCGCTGCTAATAGTACATAGAGCACAGGAGGGGTTGATCCCACCCCCTGCGTTATAATTGCGTGGATCGTACACGCTCCATTTTCGCGTGCACTGCTATTCATTACACGGAGGCAACTGTGTGCTGCGGAGAATCGAGGAGTGGTTGCGTTCACGCGAATCCGTTGAATACGAAACCGTCTCGTCAACGAGCGGTGTTTGTGTCTCTGCTGCTTGCTCTCCCTCTTGGTGGCGGACTTCTGTCTCCTATTTTCCAAGGAATTTCAATTTTTATCAAATTGATGGAATTAAGTAGCCGTGACATTCTGATCGAGTCATCATCTCGACAAAT